TAAATAAATAAATAAATAATGAATAAATAAATAAATAAATTAAATAAATATAAATAAATAGATAAATAAATAAATAAATAAAGAAATAGTTAAATCAATAAATAAAGAAATAAATAGATAAATATATATATATATATATATTTATATATATGTGTGTGTGTCTGTATGTATGTATGTATGTATTTATTAACTTATATATGTATGTATTTATTTACTTACTTTTTATTTTTGATATGCAGATTTATCTTTTTTTAAGTTACTGATTTGTTTCTACATACTGTATGAACTATATATTCATACATGTGTGTGCATGTGCGCGTGCACACACTTGGATACACCCCGAAGGGAGAAGATGAAATGAGATGAAATGAGTCGCCACATGTGACTACCATGTATACAACATGACCTTGCTAACCTACCTGGCCATGTTCCGCAATCTCTGACTGTCATCATTTTAGCCTCCCCTGGGCTTGGGGCCGCTGGGAACCTTCGGGGCAGGAAACGCAGCACGAGGAGGAGAAAGTCTCTCCGTTGGCTCTCGCTTTCTTGCAAGTTGGCACTTAGTGCTGCTGTGAATCACATGAATGTCAGTGAATGCTGTAATGCCAAATTCAGCGATATGATGATCTCGTATGATCTCGTATGATAGGTTCTGCATCCTGGTGTGCTTTTTGCATCGGGATTGCACACTGTGGCCAGCTGCGCGCGGGCGTGCCGTGCAGCCCACGAAGCGACGCAGAAGGCGACAATGCTTGCCACCGTGTGGTGCAAAGACATTTCAAAGGTTACCGACTTAAAGGAACCATGCGAAGCCCACTGAGCCAATGTGAAGCCCATGCAGAGCTCGTTGTCAACATAAAATCACTCAAGCGTATTCAACATCCTTCAGTAGATGTCATGTGCAGCTTCTATTGGGCTTGTGAGACACATTGCTTTGTCAGGCTGATCTGTGGCAGTCTCATACTCTTGGTACATGCAGTCGGTGGTCCTTGCCGGTGCCGGTGGCAAAGAAAATTTCTTGGCAGAAGGAGTTCCTTCGTTTGTTGCGGCTCGCAGGCATATTTTGTTTCATCATGGGGTGAAGCCATGCGAACATATGTTTCTTTAATATTTTGATTGAAGCCCGTCCTTTCATTCCCTATCGCCACTACCGACACCAAAAAAATAGCAGCAGAAGCAGAAGCTTTGATCAAGATAAGCAATGCTAGATGGGCAATGCTGGCTTTTAGGGATTCAAAAGTTGCCTTTGCTGTGGCTTCCCATTCCTGGAGATCCTACGCGTTGCAATCACACAGAGGTAGGGCACAAACTGTTACAATGAGGTTCTTATGGTGCTAAATCCCGACCAACCCTTGTTTGAGACACAAATTCGTAGCTAGACGGGCATCCTCTAACATTATCTATGTATATTTACTTGGTTGGAGAATTTAAGGTCAAGACACATCCCTTTACCAGAGCCGACCATAAATTCCCTCCAAATAAGGACAGCCAGAAAGGTATGGTATAGACATGTTTAGACTTAGACATGTTTATTTTGTAAAACCAAAGGCAAATGAAGAAGGTAGGTTCGGGGGTGACCATATGTATATATATATTATATATATATGCGTGTATATGTATTTGTGTGCGTGTATGTGCATATATTTATTTAATATAGACAATAAGGTTCAAGAGCGGCACTGGTAAGCCCAGAGCAAAACGCTGTGGAGAAATCGGGGTTCTTGCACATAAATCCCTGGTGGGTAAGCCGGGTAAGGTAAATACGGAACGGATGTGTTGCTTATAGATGGGAACGGGTGTTCTTATTGCTCAACGGGCAAACACCTATGTATATTTTTACGCTTTTTGCGATTTGGGATTCGGGATTAATGCAACAGAATGCAACGAGGCAGACGCCCACACGCAATGGACCGAAATGACCCGCAACCTCATGACCCGTAGCGATCCAAAGGGGAAAAAGAGAGAGGGGGCGCTGGCTGTTTCCAATTTGTTTCTCGACAGTCACTGAGGAGGCCGCGTTGCAAAGGCATTTATGTTGCCGAGTGCGGCTTTCAACGATGGGTTCGCGTTGGTCATCATACGGTGCCTGGCAAACAGCAGCAAAAGTCGCCCTCAGCAATTTTCAGCTGCTCAAATGATAAGTCTTACAGCGCCACGGAGCGCTTTAAAAAAAAACGTAAGGTTGCCAAGGCATCAAGGAGTCATAAGTCCTGGGCCCAAATGTTGTCGGCATAGCTTGTTTTCCAGGATTTGCGCAAGAACTCTGCACAGCTAGCAGCTTATGGAGGTCGAGGGGGCCAGGCCCATGTTGCGGATTGCTGTGCCCTTGGTTTGTTGGAATGTGCGAGCTCCGCGGAATTGCCTGGCAGAGTTCCTGATTGACCCGGATTCTCCGTCGTCGAGCTTTTCAATGGCCAAAGAGAGAGAGAGCGAGAGAGGGAGAGAGAGAGAGAGAGAGAGCGCGAGAGAGAGAGAGAGAGGTTTATATTGGCGAGTGCAAAAAACCGTTCAAGTACATCAGGATGTACATGCAACTACGTGAGGCAGAATGGGTGAGCTACCGCAGATACCTGCGACTACTGCCGCAGGACGAAGAGGTCCACCAGCATAGGACATCATAGGGCGGAGACTGCGTGTGATTGCAAAGATGTTCTCATGGCGTTTGTAGTATGTGCTATGTATTTGCTGTGTTTGTGTCATTTGTGCATGGCAGATATTTAGCGAAAAATCATTGGGCAGGGCAAACTTCGTGCTATGGTCCTGCAAGACCCCTGCCCACGTTTTGCTGCTGAACAAGTATTGACGGCCGGCCTGGATTTTGCAACGCATTGCAATCCAGCTGCCTGACAGCTAGATTCTTTGCCGTTTCGCAAGCTCGCTGAAATTTTCAGCGATTTATTTTTCCAAATTCATCCAGGTTTCACAGAGCTGCCTTGTTTCCACCTTCACAAGCTTTCAGATGGATCAGATAGATGCCTTGTTCCTCCCCATAGCGGAATTTCAATTGAATGCCTCCTTTCCCAAGCGTAGCCAGTTGCCTTGTTTCCAAACGTCGCGGGCTCCACAAAAATGCAACTTGTTCCCAAACGTAGCGGGTTTTCACATAGATGCCTTGTTTCCAAACGTACTGGGTTTTTACATAGATACCCCGTTCTCAACGTCGCGGGTTTTCGCGTAGATGTCTTGTTTCCAAATGTGGCAGTCTTTCAAATAAATGGCTTGTTTCCAAACTTAACCGAGTTTCCTTGTTTTCAAATGTAACTCGGTTTCAAATAGATTCTTCGTTCCAAGTTTCCAATCGTAACGGACTTTCAAGTATATGTTTTGGTTCCATAATAGCGGACTTTCAGATATATGCTTTGTTTCCCAACGTACTGAAACTGCAAGCAGACGCCTTTTCGCAGAACGCAACAAACTTTCAAATAGATGTGTTGCCCCCAAACATTGCAGACCTTTTTTAAGTTCATGTAGATGCATTGTGTTCAAGCTAGCGGGCTTTCAGATACATAGATGCTGTTTTCCAAAAATTTCCAAGTGTAGCGGACATGTGCATAGATGCCTTGTTTTCAACCTATAGCGGGCTTTCAGATGTATAGATGCCTCGTTTCCATACGTAGCGGACTTTTGGACTGGCGCGTTCTCCGCATGTAGCGGTAGCGGAGTTTCAGCTTGCAAGCGGCAGTTCTTCACCTAAGGTTAAGTCGGAAGGCCTTCCTGAGGGAGCAGTGCCTCACGCTGCTGACGCAGACCGTGTACGCAAGCGAGTTTGTGCGTCATGTCTAACTTTGGCAGCATTTCCATATTTCCATGGTCGACAGTAATTTTTGATGTTCATTGTGCTTGCAAGTTGTGACAAGTCATGAAGTCATGGCAAGTCGAGCAAATCTTCAAGGTTTCTTGAGCCTGTGATGTGCAAGCTGTTCATCACAGTGGATGGATGGTCAGGCTGCATTGGGAGTTTGGACCTGTTTTTTCACTTCAGGTTGGTGAGTACAGCTTTGACCGCCACAACGGGAGGATTCTGGTGATATACACCGCAGTTGATGGAGAGTACCGGCTGACATTTTCATTGAAGCATGGGGAGCTACGAGGATGTTCAGAACCTTATCCTTGCAAACGAGAGCAAAGCACTAGAAGTGAAATAAAGCAACTGTCTTGTCAGTGATTGCAGCAGCTGGCCACTCTCTCAGCGATTTTTGATCTGCAGCTGCAAGTTCTGGCATCACTCCCGGACTATCTCGCAGTAGGTTTGGCTGCGAGGTTTTATTGCACACTGGCTGATGATGGTATGTTTGAGCCCACCAAGGATTGTCTGACCTGGGAGCACTACGAAATGGAAGATCAAACCCGTGGAGAACTGGTACCTTTCAGTCTTGGGCGATTGCCCGACTGGATGCTTGTCGTGCAAGGTTGTTTTGCTCACTTGCTGGGCTTCCGAGCTTCACTGGTTGCAGGTTTCAGTTTTAGTTTTGGGCGCTTCTCATTCTCACATGGCTGGAAGGTTGTAATGTTTTTTGTTTGATACTTTGTCATGCAAAAGGTGCTTTCCTTACCAGTATGCTGCGCCCCACTCTTGCCGAGGAAAGGTGGAGGATTGGAAGATGAGGGCAAGGACCATTTTCCTCAGATGAATTTTCGACCCAAGGTTGCTCTAGAGCATTTGGTTTGAGTCACTCAATGTCATGCATCAGAAATATCAACTTCGTTCTTCCACATGAGGCAGCACTGTCTTGTGCTTCCTCTTCCGATGTATTGCATGCGTTTTGATGCAAAGCTGTCCCGCAAAAAGATTCCCAGAGCAACTGCAGGGTCCCTCTTTCGGTCAAGTAGGGATGACTGGAGTGGTGTCATGTTGTACCGTCCTGTGTGGTGGTGCGTTGTGTTGTGTTAAGCGCGCAGATCGGCTGTTTAAAGCAGCCATTCAGCGCCATCGAAGCCGAGCCTTGAGGTGTTCTGAAAAAAGTGTTGCTCGCCAGGTGCAGAATCACCCATTCAGATCCTTCAGAAGTTCACGAAAAAATGAATGCTTTATGAAGTCAGCGTAATCACGCCAGTTGGGCGGGACAGCAAATTTGGGGGTCCAGTTTACAAATATGATTACATTTGTTCTGCGTTCGGCCTTTGATTTGCATCAGCCGCTCGTGCCCAGTCTAGTTGCAGGGCTCAAGCCGGTTTCAAGTGCAACTGTAGCACATCAAGGTCATTGCCACTCTGAATGATATGCTCCCATCGGGGAAATGATGCAGCCCTGCACAACTTATAGATTGGATGCAGTTGAAATATTTTGGGCCCATCGCTAGGAGCCAAAAGATGCAGCAAGGATTGAAAGAAAAAGTCATGCGAAGTCAGGGCGGAGCCTTTTCAAACAGTTCACCGTACCGGGGTTCAGCCATGTTGCCAAGTTCGGAAGTGGCTCCTGCCTTCCGCAGTTTGGTGGTGGCCGCGGCTTGCGTTTTTAGGGGTTCGCAAAGGGATTTATGCTGGATGCTAAAATTCAAATGCCTTGCAAGTTGGATATGTTCAAAGCACGTCCGCAGTGGGATTTTTGACGTTTCTTTGTATGCGCCTGTGTCTTTCATGATCAGTGTTCACTGGTTCCGGCAAAGTAGGGTTTAGGCGAGGTTCGGTCAAATCCTTTGTATGGATTCAAGGTGATTATTCACTATCATTGCCGCAGAAAGACGATGCAATATTTAGAAAACTGAGTGTGCTTGATATTCAATGGCTAGAAGAGTGCTGAGAGTTTGGAATGTTTCGAGGGGTTTGGGGGCTGGTGGGCTGTTTGCCGGCCGCTGCGGTGTCTACGTGTGAAAGTGCATTTCGCGTGGCAGGCCTGGGACTTTGTGGAGTGCAGAGTGTGAAGTGTGACGTGTGGAGTGTGGAGTGGGGAGTGTGAAGTGCGCTGTGTGGAGTGTGACGTGTGGACTGTGAAGTGTGAAGTCTGGGGGTGTCAAGTGTGAAGTATGACGTGTGTGGAGCGTGAAGTGCGGAGTGTGGCGTGTGAAGTGTGGAGTGTGGAGTGGGGAGTGTGAAGTGCGCAGTGTGGAGTGTGACGTGTGGAGTGTGAAGTGTGGAGTGTGGAGTGTGGGGGTGTCAAGTGTGGAGTGTGACGTGTGAAGTGTGACGTGTGAAGTGTGAAGTGTGGGGTGTCAAGTGTGAAGTGTGGAGTGTGGCGTGTGCAGTGTGGAGTGTGAAGTGTGCAGCGTGAATTGCGGAGTGGAGAGTGTGGAGTGAAAAGTGTTAAAATTTTGGCTCAGAGATTCATAAGTGTTCTTATTGTCATACATCACTACATTCAGGCGTGCACAGTAGGCACGTGAGACTGCCAGGATGCGGTTATATTTTACCGAATGCGTAACGAAGGGTTTTTGTTTTCTTTCTGGGGGGGGGATGGACTGTTTGCGGGTCGTTTTCGTGTTGCGGGTCTCCAATCTCGTCGCTGCGGTGTCTGTGGGGAAAGTGAGGAAAGGTGATGTTTTGGGACGTGTGAAGTGCATGTCGCGTGGCAGGCGTGGGACTTTGTGGCACTCAAGTGAAAGTTGCTTCGCAGCTCTCTAATTGCGTTGCTGCGCACTGTCTATGAAGAAAGTGTGAAGTGTGGAGTGGAGGGTGTGGAGTGTGAAGTATGAACTGTGAAAAGTGAACCGTGAAGTGTGAAGTGTGGAGTATGAAGTGTGGAGTGGAGAGCGTGGAGTGTGAAGTATGAATTGTGTGAAAAGTGAAGTGTGAAGTATGAAGTGTGAAGTGTGGAGTGTGGAGTGCGAAGTGCGGAGTGTGAAGTGTGGAGTGCGAAGTGTGGAGTGAAGAGTGTGAAGTGTGAAGTGTGAAGTATGCATTGTGAGAGGTGAGCAGTGAAGTGTGAAGTGAAGTACGAAGTTTGAAGTGTGGAGTGGGGAGTGTGGAGTGTGAAGTATGAATTGCGAAAAGTGAAGTGTGGAGTGTGAACTGCGGAGTGGAGAGTGTGAAGTGCGACGTGTGGAGTGTGAAGTGTGGAGTGTGAAGTATGAAGTGCGAAGTTTGGAGTGGAGAGTGTGGAGTGTGAAGTATGATTTGTAGAAAGCGACGTGTGAAGCATGAAGTGTGGAGTGGAGAGTGTGAAGTGTGGAGTGAGTGTGGAGTGCAGAGTATGGAGTGGAGCGTGGAGAGTGTGAAGTGTGAAGTGTTAAGTGCGGAGTGTGAAGTATGAAGTGTTGAGTGGAGAGTGTGAAGTGTGAAGTGTTGAGTGGAGAGTGTGAAGTGTCGAGTGTGGAGGGTGAAGTGTGAAGTGTGGAGTGTGGAGTGTGGGGTGCGAAATGTGCAGTGTCAGGTGTGCAGTGTGAAGGTCGAAGTGTGAAGTGTGACGCGTGCAGTGTCAGGTGTGAAGTGTGAAGTGTAAGGTGTGAAGTGTGAAGTGTGAAGTGTGAAGCGGAGTGGAGTGGAGTGTGGAGTGGGGCGTGCGAAGTGTGAAGTGTGAAGTGTGGAGTGTGGAGTGTGGAGTGGAAAGTGTGGAGTGTGAAGTGTGAAGTGTGGAGTGAAGAGTGTGGAGTGTAGAGTGGAGAGTGGAGAGTGGAGAGTGTGAAGTGTGGAGTGTGGAGTGTGAAGTGTGGAGCGCGATGTGGGAAGTGTGAAGTGTGGAGTAAGCAGTGTAGAGTGTGAAGTGTGCAGGGTGAAGTGAAGTGAGGTGAGGTGAGGTGAAGTGAAGTGAAGCGTGTAGTGTGTAGTGTGTAGTGTGTAGTGTCAGGTGCGCAGTGTGAAATGCGAAGTCTGGAGTGTGAAGGATGGAGTGTGAAGTGTGGAGTGTGGAGTGTGAAGTGTCAAAAGTGGAGTGTGAAGTGGAGAGTGTGAAGTGTGGAGTGTGACGTGTGAAGTGTGGAGTGTGAAGTGCGTGACGTGTGGAGTGTGAGGTGTGAAGTGTGGAGTGTGGAGTGGAGAGTGTGAAGTGTGAAAAGTGAAGTGTGAAGTGTGGAGTGCTTGTGGGAAGTGTGAAATTCGGAGTGTGAAGTGTGAAGTGTGGAGTGTGGGGTGTGAAGTGTGAAGTGTGAAGTGTGAAGTCTGAAGTCTGAAGTCTGAAGTGTGAAGTGTGAAGTGTGAAGTGCAGTGTGGTACTTGGAAGTACTTTGTGCAAGCATTGTAGTACACAGTGGTACTGGGGAGCTCCTTGTGATGTGCAAGCTTTGTATCACAAAGTAGTATATACTGGGAAGCGCCTTGCGCAAGCTTTGTAGTACAAAGTAGCTGTACTGTGAATTATTCTGCGCAAGCTTTGCGGTACGAAGTAGTACTGGCAAGTGCCTTGTGCAAGCTTTGTAGTACGAAGTAGTACTAGGAAGTGCCTTGTGGAAGCTTTGTAGTACAAAGTAGTACTGGGAAGCGCCTTGCGCAAGCTTTGTAGTGCAAAGTAGTACTGGGAAATACTTTCTGTGCAAGCCTTGTAGTACAAAGTAGTACTGGGAACTTCTCTGCGCAAGCTTTGTGGCACAAAGTAGAACTGGGAAGTGCCTTGTGCAAGCTTTGTAGTACAAAGTCGTACTGGGAGGTGCTTTGCGCAAGCTTTGTAGTACAAAGTAGTACTGGTAAGTGCCTTATGCAAACTTTGTAGTACGACAAGCTTTGTAGTACCGAGTAGTACTGGGAAGTACTTTGTGCAAAGTAGTACTGGGGAGTTCCTTGTGCAAGCTTTGTAGTACAAAGTAGTATTGGGAAGTGCTTTGTGCAAGCATTGCAGTACAAAGTAGTACTGGGAAGTTCCTTGTGCAAGCTTTGTAGTACAAAGTAGTACTGGGAAGTACTTTGTGCAAGCTTTGCAGTACAAAGCCGTACTGGAATGTATTTGGTGCAAGTGTGGAGTGTGAAGTGCCAGGTGTGCAGTGTGAAGTGCGGAGCGTGAAGTGAAGTGGGGAGTGTGAAGTATGAAGTGCAGAGTGTGGAGTGGAGAGTGTGGAGTGTGAATTGTGGAGTGTGAAGTGTGCAGTGTGAGGTGTGAAGTGTGGAGTGTGAAGTGTGGAGTGTGGAGTGTGAAATGTGGAGTGTGGAGTGGAGGGTGCAAAGTGCGAAATGGAGTGTGGAGTGTAAAGTGTGGAGTGTGACGTGTGGAGTGTGAAGTGTGCAGTGCCAGGTGTGCAGTGCGACGTTTGGAGTGCGAAGTGTGAAGCGTGGAGTGTGAAGTGTGAAGAGCGGGGTGTGGAGTGGAGAGTGCGAAGTGTGAAGTGTGCAGTGTGCAGTGTGGAGCGTGCAGTGTGAAGTGTGAAGTGTGGAGTGGAGAATGTGAGGTGTGAAGTGTGAAGTGCGCACTGTGAAGTGAAGTGTGGAGTGTGATGTGGGAAGTGTGGATTGTGAAGTGTGCAGTGTCAGGTGTGCAGTGTGGAGTTTGGAGTGTGGAGTGAAGCGTGAAGTGTGGAGTGTGAAGCGTGGAGTGTGCAGTGTGGAGTGTGGAGCGTGGAGTGTGAAGTGTGAATTGTGGAGTGGAGAGTGTGATGTGGGAAGTGGGAAGTGTGGAGTGTGAAGTGTGGAGTGTGGAGTTTGGAGTGTGGAGTGTTGAGTGTGAAGTGTGGAATGTGGAGTTTGAAATGTGGAGTGGGAAGTGTGGAGTGCGGGGTGTGGAGCGTGATGTGTGGAGAGTCAGTTAAGTGTGGAGAGTCAGTTAAGTGTGGAGTGTGGGGTCTGGAGTGCGAAGTAATACTGGGAAGTGCCTTGCGCAAGATTTGCTGCAC